AGACAGGGAAACAGGTTCAGAGAAGACAAGTGACTAGCCTAAGCACCCTGAGCCGTAAATGGCTAAGTGCCTGGGGCTTAAGTAGCCACTCATTAAATATGCTTTAGATGAACGAATAACTGAAAAGCTAGAGCTCACATACAGGTCTATCTCCCTCCAGAGCCCGGCTCTCAGCCTTGCCATCTGCAACCTCGAGGTCTCCTGGTGGGGATGTTGAAGCCAGACCCCACCACTCAACCTCCATCAGTTTCCTTGCAGGATCCTTGACTCCCTGCTCTGAGGCGGGCCTGGCCTCTCCCCATTTTGGGTTGGGGTGCTAGGGGTTTGAGCCATAGTCTGCCCTGCCTTGCGGAGGGAGGAGGCAGAAAGGACAGTGTGGCCCCGCCTGCCCAGAGTGTCTTGTCCACTCTTATCAGGACCTCCCCGGCGGAAGGAGGAGGAAGGAGGTGCTGAGACCGGAACTACCCGAGATGGGGGAGGGGGAGACCTCTACCCCTCTCCCAAGGGCCCCGACCTACGCGGCCTAGACGCCCGAGTCCTCACGCTGCGTGAGGTTCGTGGGGACCCGGCAAGAAGGAAGGTGTCCCCCACCCCTGGGCCTGGACACTGGCCTGACCACATCCCCCGAACTCTCACACCACCTGGGATAGTTGACCAGCGCACCCAGCCCGGGCCCCAGTCCAAGAGTCCAGCCCCCTCCCCCCCAGCCCCGACTCTGCCAGGCTCGGAGACCCGGCAGTCTGGGCGTTCAGCTGTGCCCTCTCTCCGCCGGCACCCCAAGGGGTCCAGGAGGGCAAGCCCTGGCGCCTGCCTACGCCACCCCTAGCCCGATCCCCTTGGGTCCCCGGAGTCCAGTCTCCCAACTTTGTTTCGCTCCAGCACGGGAGAGCCGGGACGTCCAGCAGAACCACGTCCCCGCCCGCCCCCTCGAGGATCAGGTGCTCGACGCCCAGCCCCGCCGCCAAATCCCCGCCGCCGGGGTCCAGGGTTCGTGCACCCCTGGCCCCCGCCCCCCTAGGAGACGCACTCACTTTCCCCCACCACCGCCTTCAGCCCCGAGGGCGCCATCTTCCCCTAGGGGCGCCGCCACCGCTTCCGGGTCTGTCCCAAGGTGGGGGCGTGGCCCGGCGCGTCAGCCACCTGGACCCCGCCCCGCGGAGCTGGCCCCGCCTCCATCGGTCCTCGGAGAGGAAGATCTGTCCCTCGCAGAGTGGGCGGGCGGATGTGTCCACGCAGACGAGTACGGAGGCGCTGGAGGGGCACCCCGACGCCACACGCAGACGCGAGCTCAGACACACCTTTCCTGCTTGCGTGCGGCAAGCACGTGGGATCGCGGGGAAACTAACGCTTTAATCTTCCCCAGACACAACCACCACCCTGCCAGAAGTTTCTCCGTGGCTGACGGATGCTGTGTGCCCATCCGCGGCCGCGGGGGGCCCTAAGCCCGTGACCCACTAACCTTCTGTTCCCCAGAGCGTAGCGGCAAGCTGGACAACATTTGATCAATTCACGAGGAAGCCTGGCGGGAGGGTTGAAGCTAAGCCAGCACCTACTGTGTGCCAAGGACCCGTGTCAGATTCTCACTCGATCCTCGGAGAACCCCTGACAGGGAGTGCGGTATAGACAACAGAACCGCGGCTCAGCAGGACTCTTGTCTAAGGCCACAGGATGAATAGGCCTGCCGGGATCTGAACCAGGACTCTTTCCCAGGAGGACCGCTTGTCATAGCCTTGCCCTCACCGGGTGCACACACACACCGTCACAGCCTGATAATCACATTCGTCTGCTGATGAACTCGTGGGCTTAGGGGCATGCCCAACCCCATGCACACTTAACACACACACTCAGTTCACACTTGACTTGAAATTTCATGGCCTGCTCCTGTGTGCCAGCAAACGGCTGCCACCTTGTCACATAGAGGGCACAGTCCAGCAGCGCCCATCCAAAAGAGGTCCTGTATTTCAGGTGTGATGCTCGTGTGTGAATGCAGAGTCCAGAACTAGTTCCTTCATTTGGTCAAGTTTATTAAGAATTGGTCTGGATGGGGGCGCTTGGGTGGCTCAGTCAGTAAGCGTCTGCCTTCGGCTCAGGTCATGATCCCAGCGTCCTGGGATCAAGCCCCACATCAGGTTCCCTGCTCAGCGGGGAGCCTGCTTCTCCCTCTCCAGCTCCCCCTGCTTGTGTTCCCTCTCTCGCTGTCTCTGTCAGATAAATAAATAAAGTCTCAAAAAAAAAAAAAAAAGAAAAGAAAAGAAACGAAAAGAAATGGTCCGGATGGGGCACTTGGGTGGCTCAGTCACTTAAGCGTCTGCCTTTGGCTCGGGTTATAATGCTGGAGTCCTGGGATGGAGCCCCACGTCAGACTCTCTGCTTAGCAGGGAGTCTGCTTCTCCCTCTGCCCTTCCCCCTGCTCATGCTCTTTCTCTCTCAAATAAATAAATAAAATCTTAAAAATAAAAAGGAATTCGTCTGGTGCTTGGCCGTTTGCCACTTACATGGGACAGGCAACAGTGAATAAAACTAGATCTGCCACGTGGCACTTAAGGTTAAATGGAAGAGGGAGAGAAAATGGTCAATTCTGTTCTAACGGAAATAAAGTGATGTGAGAGCACGTGCCACGTGGGGGGGGGGGTTTGTGTGTGGTACCAGAGGGGGACCCTGACAGGGTGACGTTTAGATTTAACCTGATGGACATCAAGCAGCAGCTATGCAGCAATCCAGGCAGAGAGAAGCAGGGGATGTAGCTGGAGGAGCGGAGGAAGGCAGGTGAGCTTGGAGGGGCTGCAGAGGCCAGACCTCTGTGGGACAAGGTAGGACTGACCCAGTCCAATTTGCCTGGGATTGAGAGGTTCCCAGGACACAGGACTTCCAGTGCTAAAACTGAGAATGTCCTAGGCAAACCAGGATGGCTGGCTACTCTAGGTAGGATTTGGGGGTTTTCTTCCGTGTTTTCCTCCCTCTCTCCGTTCCTTTCTTGTTTTTTCTTTCATAGCTTCATTGAGATATAATTCACATACCACACAGTTCACTTGCTGAGAGTGTACAATTCAATGCCTTTTAGCATGTTTAGAGTTGTGCATCCATCCCCAATTTTAGAACATTCCATTACTCCATGGTGTTTGAGTTTTCTCCTGAGGGCAATGGGGGCCAAGGGATAGTTCTGAGCAGGGGAGGGAGGGGATCCCTGCAGCTCCTGGAGGGGAAGGATGGATTGTAGGGGCACAAGGAGGAGTTGGAAGGCCGTGAGACCCCTCTAGCTTCTCAGTCTGTCCCCTGGGGGTGAAGGTCAGGAGGGCCTACCACCCCCCACTGTACTCTGTGAGGGTGACCAGGGTCTTCTGCTGTTAATGGCTGAATGGTATCCTGCCCACCCTCCCCCAAGAGAGGTTGAAGGCCTAAGCTCTGGTACCTGAGATTGTGACCTTATTTGGAAATAGAGTCGTTGCAGACGTGGTTAGTTAAGAGGTCAGCCTGCAGTAGCATGAGGCTCTAACACAACATGACTGGGTTCCATGTCTTGTGACGGTCATGTGAAGACAGGGACACAGAGGAATGTCACATGACGACAGAGGCAGAGGTTGAAATACTGCAGCGACCAGCCAAGGAGCACTGAGGGCTGCCTGTAACCGCGAGGAGCCAGGGAGAGGGAAGGAAGGACCCTCCCCTGAGGGTCTCAGGAGCATGACACCACCAACATCCCAACTTCTGGCTCCAGCCTCCAGAACTGTGTGACAATCGTCTGTTGCTCTAAGCCACCCAGCTTGTGACTTTGTTAGAGCAGTTAAGGCAGCTCCAGGAAACTAGTGCATCCGTGGAAGAGCAGGGCGTCCGGTTGGCATCGAGGACTCAGGGTTGTGGACAGGGTGTGGGGGGGGGCCCTGGATGGGGAACGGTTGCCTGGGGGAAGAGGACTGAGCTTTGAGCTTTGTGCTCAGGCAGGTGTGGTGCTTGTGTGGCCCATTTACTCTGAGAAGAGGTTTTAACCGGTTTCTAGAAAGGCATCTTGGGTAGGGGATGGGGTTCCACCGGGACCCTCCCAGTGGCACCCTCTCCCAGGGCACTGAAAGAAGGCCATAGCTGCTTGGGGCTCCTTGCCTCCCATCCCCAGGCACTGAGATCTCAGGAGAAAGCTCAACCTGGCATCGGTGGCAGGACAGGAAATCCCAGACCCTCTTGGGGCGCCTGGGTGGCTCAGTTGTTTAAGCGTCTGCCCTATACTCAGGTCATGATCCCAGGGTCCTGGGATGAAGCCCCACATCGGGCTCCCTGCTCAGCGGAGAATCTGCTTCTCCATCTCCCTCTGCCCCCCCTCCCCCCCCCCCCCCACACCCCCCCCTGCTCTCTCACTCTCTCTCAAATAAATAAAACCTTAAAAAAAAAAAAAAAAAGGAAATCTCAGACCTTCTTGTCTTAGGGCCTGTGGTGGGCAACCAGACCCAGGGACAGTGAGTAGGAGGGGTGGCCAGGAGACAGAGATGGAGCTAGTCGGCCTGGTGGTGCCTCAGTGGTCCTCAGGTCCAGCTTCTTCCCCCACCACCTGCGGATGGCAACTGCCCTCCCAGCAGGGTGAGACCATCCTGCACTGCTTCTCACTGGTGGGCTACAGATCTCACCTGAGCTGCCCTGGTGGCCTGACCTCTCCCAGTGGGGCCAGCCAGCCCCCCTCGCCCCACTGTGGGGACACTGGTCTGGCCTGCTGCTGAGCCCCACCTGACAGTTCTTGGGGCCCAGTGAGTCCTGCTGGGCGAGGTCCAAACCCAGGTCACCCTGTCTCCTACCCTCACAGCAGCACTGCATCCTGCTGCAAAAACAATTATCTGGATCATCTTTATGGGGCTTAAGCTTGGGTGGGAGCAGATGGGGCATGAGCTGGGGATTTGGGGCTGAGTATCCACTCCCCCCCATATCCCAGTCTTTTAAAAAGCCTTCTCTGGCACAGGGCCGGGACAGAGGAAAGCAGAGAAGTGGACAGGACCCAGGGGAGGGGAGCAGGGACAATGATGGACCAGGAAGAGAAGGTGGACGGGAGCTTGGCCCCCTACGTCAAGGTAAGCAGATCCCACCCCACACATCCCTCCAACTCAAGGGCCTGTGAATGACAACACTAATTAGTTTGTAGGGCACCTAATTAGCAAGCAAGTCTCCTGGGACCCCTGACCCAGTTGCCGCCCAAGGAAGTGCTGGTGGGCATGAGGGTCCAAGTGCCTAACACAGCCCCAGGGCAGAGGTCAGGGCTCTCGGTGCTAACCCCTGTGAGGTGGGGGATGCTGGGATTTGGGGGCAGCCCCTGGTATGTTTCCCTGGCTCATGTCCCAGCCCCCAGGCCACCCTGCAGTCAGGCCCCAATTTAGGACGTCAGGATGCTGGCACCGGCAGCCTCTCCCTTGAGGCAGCACCACGTGGGGTGGCCCTGCTAGCTGGACCCCTGGGGCAGGGACTGGGATGGGGAAGGAGGCTCAGGTCTCATTCTGAGCAGCTCTGCAGAGCAGCGCATCGGCGGGGACCATGGTGAGAGCCGAGGAGGGGAGGGGAGGGGAGGGGTTCCCCAGCTGAGAGTCCAGCTGGACTGAGTGTATCTGTCCCCTAGGCTGGCTCTCCAGATCAGGAGGGCTTCTTCAACCTGCTGAGCCACGTGCAGGGTGACCGGATGGAGGAGCAGCGGTGCTCGCTGCAGGCAGGGCCAGATCCGACCTCCGAGAGCCGTGAGAGCGGGCACGGGGGGTGTGGGGGGAGTGGGACTGGTGTGATGTTTGGGGGCATAAACGGGGCAGGGCGTAGGGATCCAGGGAGAGTGGCCATCTGGGGGGCCTGTGGCAAGAACCTGAGAAAGTAAGCTGCAAATGGGAACACTGGGCAAGGGATGAGGGGGGAGAGGCGAGCGCACTTCCGAGAGAACATGAGTGGAGGCGGAGGAGCGGGTTGGGGGCTCCAGCTGGGCTGTGTCCCCTGGAGTCAGTGTGTATGTTCATCCCCACATGCTTCTGCTTAATGCAGAGAGTGGCCCTGCACCTGAGATGGACAGTCTCATGGACATGCTGGCCAGTACCCAGGGCCGCCGTATGGATGACCAGCGTGTGACAGTCAGCACCCTGCCTGGCTTCCAGCCCATAGGCCCCAAGGTAGGTGACGTGCTGCTGGGGCTGAGCAGAGACCTGCTAGGCTGAGTGCTCTGACCCTGCCTCCCACCCCCAGCCAGGAGTAAATGGGGCCTCACCCTCACGTCTAGCCACGACTTGCCCCCTGGGGATGAGTGCCTGGTAAGAATGCCACCCTGGGTCCCTGCCAGTCACAGGATCCTGGCCAATCCAATCCCCAACTTCGGGTGGGAGGACAAAGGCCCAGACAGGGCCGAGAGGGGCCCAAGGTCAGGCCGGGGGCAGGTTTAATGTCAGAGCCGTGGCTGGAACTCGGGGGCCCTGCCGCCCTGTCTCAGGGTTTCAGGGAAGACAGAATGAGCAGACCCCCTTCCTAGGAAGACACCTCCGAGGAAGAGGACACATGAGTTTATACACGGGACACAGACCTCCGTACACTAGTGTCTATGACACACATATGCACGCACAGCCTGGGTTCTGATCAAGACCCCAAATACCACCCTAAAGGTTGAGTAACGGGCGCCTGGGTGGCTCAGTCGTTAGGCGTCTGCCTTCGGCTCAGGTCATGATCCCAGGGTCCTGGGATCGAGTCCCACGTCGGGCTCCCTGCTCGGCGAGAGGCCTGCTTCTCCCCCTCCCACTCCCCCTGTGTTCCTGCTCTCACTGTCTCTCTCTGTCAAATAAATAAAATCTTTAAAAAAAATAAATAAATAAATAAAGGTTGAGTAACTAAGGTACATAGAAGCGGCGGATGGTACGGACAGACGGCAGGAGGGGGCACACAGGCACCCTCCCCCAATGTCTGGGTCACCTCCGACTGGCACTGTCCTTGGTCCCTCCCTCTGGCTGACCCCTCTTTATCCACAGGACGGAGTGCAGAAACGAGCCGGGACGCTCAGCCCCCAACCCCTCCTCACCCCTCAAGACCCGACTGCCCTCAGCTTCCGTCGGAACAGCAGCCCCCAACCCCAGACACAAGCCCCCTGAGGGCCTGAGCCATCCTGGGCCCTGCATGGCCCCTGAAAACAGACAATAAAACACTTCCACAAGAAATAAGGAACTGTGTGTTATTTCATGGGTGGAGGGGCTAGGCTTCAGGAGCTCTGCTGGGCAGCACGAAGGAGCTTCTCCTCCCGCTGCTTCCGTAGCCTCTCTTTGAATTCTTCTAACTCCTGGCGCTGGGGGTTGGAGAAGGGGGGTGGAACGGGAAGCGAGGAGGACACACACCTCAGGGGCTTAGACCCCCTTCCCCCCGACCCTGCCCTTACTCCCCCAGGCCACAGCTTCACAGAGTTCAGCATCTACACTGGAAGCCCTGTGCCAATTACAGGGAGGGTCCAAGGGGGATCATCTTCATCTTTCAGGAAGAGGGCAAGAAAGAAATTATATGCCCCTCTGCTCTCAGTTCTCTTTCCTCATGACTGAGAGCAAAATTTTCATTCAAATCCATCATGGCCACAGGGATCCAGGCACCTCCGTCCCTTTAGGGGGAAGAAGAGTATGTGACTTACCTGGTCCTCCTTCTCAGGTGGCCACAGCTCCCTCTGTGGGGACAAAGTAACAGCTGGTAGCATGAGCCAGGAGACTCGAGAGCCCCCCACCCAGGGCAGGGTTGGCTGGTGGGAAGCAGACATTGGTCCCCAGCAGGCTGGTGCTCCATTCTCTCCCCCACGCCCTGGAATGAACCCATGAATACTCTCCCTGTGCCCACCTTGCGCTGTATGACATAGTCCTCAAACCACTCGGCCTGATTGGCAATCCAGAACATAGCCACAGGGAAGGTGAGGTAGAGCGTCATCTAGAAGGGCAGGGGGTAAATGAACGGAGCCACAGATTAAACCCCTTCCACAACACGCATGGTTGCTCAGAGCCTGGAGGACCATCCTCCCGCAGAGCTTACGCGTGCCTCCTCAGGGTCCCCAAGAACCGCAGAACTTCCACCAAGGATACAGAAGCCTGCCACCTTAAAGCCTAGACCCCTAAGGGTAATAATTTAAGAGACCTCAAAGCCTCCTCCAAGTCTGGGGAAACTCCCTCTCGAAGACACACACACACACACACACACACACACACGCGCGCGCGCGCGCGCGCGCAAGCGCAAAGACCCCTCACTCAGAGTACAAAAACCTCGTCCTAAAGTCGAAGGCATCTTCGTGAGACCTCATTACCCACCCATTCGTCAGATCCCTGGAACATCTTCAAACCCAGGAGGCCTCGTTATTTGGAATCTATTCCTCTAATCACAGGGGTCTCCCTGTTAGAAACACACAACCACCCGGAGCCCATGAGCTTCCTCGGGGTTTCGAGCCTTCCTTCTCGGAGCCCCTTTTTCAGATCACTCCTCTCAGACGCCCTTCCGCACACCAGCCCGCCCCTACCCCAGCGCCCCCTCCGCTGGGCTTCCAACCCTAAAGATCCCTCTCAAAACTCGGAAGCTTTCTCCCCACACTGCCCTCTCTCCTGGAACCCCCTCCCCTTCAGAGCCGCCTCCTCAGTCCCGGGAGGAGTCCAACCGTCCACCCACTGCAAAGCTCACTGACCCGAAACACCTCCAGCTTCACTCCCATCTCGCTTCTCCCAGGCTACAAAGCCGCTTCCGCCCAGAGTCAACCCTTCAGCAAAACAGCAGCTCATTGGGCGTTCGCAGGCTCCACCACTGAAGCTGATTGGTAGAGGAGTTTCAAGATGACGTCATATTCGGGAGCCTCTTCTCTGCTTCCGGTCGCTGGCGCCTTCTAAGCGAAAGTCAACAAACGCTGTCCGCGGGGTTGAAAAGGGTTCAACCAATAGGAAATAGGTCTGGCCCCGGGGGGCGGGCCTTCAGCGGGAGGCGTCATTATAACACGACTCCTTTCGGTACCTGGAGAGCCACGAAGATGGTGGTGATGGCGCGTCTTTCCCGGCCGCAGCGGCCGGACCTCGTTTTCGTGAGTTCGCGGCGGGGCCGGGGGTGGCCCGTGTGGTAGCACCGGCCTTGGATGCTGCAGGGGTTTCAGGCCTGGCCGCCTGGGGTGTCTGGGCCAAAACTCTGTCCACCCGAGGGCCGGGCGTGTGGACCCGGCTGTCCAGGAGCAAAGTTCTGGTGCCGGAGTCCAGGTGGTCTGAGTGAAGACTTGCTGTCGAGGTTAAGGGCCAGGCGACCCGGGCCTCCGGTGGAAATGGGAGCGCGCGGGGAGAGGGGTGGATCTCATAGCTAAATCTTGTAGAGATCTGGCGTCTGAAGTAGAGGCTAGTGACCCAAAGCCAGGGCTCTGGTTTCTGTGGTAAAGTCTTGGTGTTCTAAGTAACGACCTAGGTTTGGCCCTGAGCCTTGTAGTTTCTGAAATAAAGGATTGGTGTCTGGATTAGGAGAACTCTGGAGTCAGATGTGGAGCTGGTCAGGCGATGGCCAGTGGGATCCTGAAGACTTGGTATCTTGGTATCTGGAACGCAGGCGTGTCTTTTGATTGTGCTTCGCAGATATTGCAGGAGATTTTTTCTTTTTGTTTTCTTTCTTTCTCTCTCTCCCTTTTTTTTTTTTTTAACAAATTGAAGGCTTGTAGCAACCCTGCATCAAGCGTGTTGGCACAATTTTCCAACAGCATTTGCTCACTTCATGTCTCTCTGTCACGTTTTGGTAATTCTCACAGTATTTCAAACTTTTCCATTGCTTTTGGGGCACCGGGAGCCACACCCAAATAAAAGGGGAAGTTAATAAATGTATGTGTTTTGACTGCGTCATGGGCTATTGCCCACCTCTGTCCTTGGGCCTCCCTACTCCGGAGACATAACAATGTTGAAATTAGACCAATTAATAACCTTACAGTGGACTCTAAGTGTTCAAGTGAAGGGAATAGTCACACATCTCTTGCTTTAAATCAAAAGCTAGAGATGATTAAGCTTAATGAGGAAGGCATGTTGGAAGCTGAGAAAGGCCGAAAGCTAGGCCTTTTGCACCAAACAGCCAAGTGGTGAATGCAGAAGAAACATTCGGGAAGAAAATTAGAAGTGCTACTCCAGTGAACACATGAATAATAAAAATGTGAAACAGCCTTATTGCTGTTCTAGAGAAAATTTTAGTGGTCTGGGTAGAAGATCAAACCAGACACAACATCCCCTTAGGCCAAAGTCTAATTCAGAGCAAGGCCCAACTCTTTGGTTCTACAAAGCCTAAGGGAGGTGAGGAAGCTGCAGGAGATGAGTTTGAAGCTAACAGAGGTTGGTTCATAAGGTTTAAGGAAAGAAGCCATCTCCATAACAAAAGTGCAAAGTGAAGCAGCGAGTGCCAATATAGGATCTGTGGTAAGTTAATCAGAAGATCTAGGGGCGCCTGGGGTGTCTCAGTTGGTTAAGTGTCTGCCTTTGGCTCAAGTCATGATCCCAGGGTCCTGGGATCAAGCCCTGTGTTGGGAATCCCTGCTCAGCGGGGAGTCTACTTCTCCCTCTTCCTACCCCCTCTTGTGCACTCTCCCTTTCACTCTCTCTCTCAAATAAATAAATACAATCTTAAAAAGAAGAAGAAGATGTAGTTAAGGGGCACCTGGGTGGCTCAGTTGGTTAAGTGTCTGCCTTCGGCTCAGGTCATGATCCCGGGGTCCTGGGATCGAGCCCCGTGTGTCTGACTCCCTGCTCAGTGGAGAGCCTGCTTCTCCCTCTCTCTCTGCTGCTCCTCCTGCTTGTGTGCATTCTTTCCCTCTCTCCCTCTCCAATAAGTAAATAATATCTTTTTGAAAGAAAAGCTAGTTAAGATAATGAAGGTGAGTACACGAAACAGACTTTTAAAATTTATTTTATATATTATTATTATTTCTCACAATCCTGAGATCAAGACCTGAGCTGAGATCAAGAGTTGGACGCTTAACCAACCAAGCCACCCAGGTGCCCCAAACAGACTTTTAAATAAATGGAAAAGCCTTTTCGGAAGAAGATGCTATCTAGGGCTCTCATAGTTAGAGAAGAAAAGTCAGTGCCTGGCTTCAGCACTTCAAAGGACAGGCTGACTCTATTGCCCATAAAGTCATCAAGCTAATGCTGCTGATGACTTTAAGTTGAAGCTGGTGCTCATTTACCATTCTAAAAATCCTAGGGCCCTTAAGAATTAAGCTAAAGCTACTCTGTGCTGTATAAGTGGAACAACAAAGCTTGGATGATGGCATATCTGTTTACAACGCTGTTTACTAAATATTTTGAATCCAGTGTTGAGACCTACTGCTCAGAAAAAAAGATTCCTTCCAAATAATGACTGCTCATTAACAATCTACCTGGTTATCCAAGGGCTCTGACAGAGATGTACAATGAAATTAATGTTGTTTTCGTGGCTGCTGATAAAACATCCATTCTGTAGCCTACAGGCCAAAGAGTAATCTCAATTTTCAGGTCTTATTATTTAAAGATTTTTTACTTATTTATTTGACAGAGAGAGACACAGCGAGAGAGGGAACACAAGCAGGGGGAGCAGGAGAGGGAGAAACAGGCCTCCTGCCGAGCAGGGAGCCGGACACGGGGCTCAATCCCAGGACCCTGGGATCATGACCTGAGCCGAAGGCAGACGCTTAACGACTGAGCCACCCAGGCGTCCTTGGTCTTATTACTTAAGAAATACATTTCATAATGTTATAGCTGCCATAGATAGCAATTACTCTGATCTGGGAAAAGCAAATTGAAAACCTTCTGGAAAGGATTCACCATTAAGAACATTCAGATTCGGGCGCCTGGGTGGCTCAGTTGGTTGAGTGACTGCCTTCAGCTCAGGTCATGATCCCGGAGTCCTGGGATCGAGTCCCACATCGGGCTCCCGGCTCAGCAGGGAGCCTGCTTCTCCCTCTGACCCTCTCCCCCTCATGCTGTTTCTCTCTCGCTCGCTCTCTAATAAATAGATAAATAAAATCTTAAAAAAAAAAATTCTGATTCATGAGGAGGGGTCGAAGTATCAACCTTAACAGGGCTTTGGAAGAAGTTGATCCCAACTGTCATGAATGACTTTGAGGGGTTCCAGCCTTCAGGGGAAGAAGTAACCGCAGGTGTGGCACAAACAGCAAGAGAACCAGAATTAGAAGTGGAGACTTAAGATGGGACTGCATTGCTGCAATCTCATGATAAAATTTGAATGGAGGAGTTGCTTTCTTATGCATGAGCAAAGAAAGGGGTTTCTTGAGATGGAATCTACTGGTGAAGATGCTGCGAAGATCGTTGAAATGCCAACAGGGCTTTTAGAATATTACATAAACTCAGTTGACAAAGCAGCAGCGGGGTTTGAGAGGATTGATTCCAGTCTGGAAGGAAGTCCTACTCTGGGTAAAATGCTGTCAAACCGAATCACATACTACAGAGAAGTCGTTAACGGAGGGAAGATTCAATTGATGTGGCAAACTATTTTGTCTTTTTTAAGAAATTGCCACAGTCACCCCAGCCTTCAGCAGCCACCACCCCAATCAGTCAGCAGCTATCACCAGGGAGGCAAGACCGTCCACCAGCAAAAAGATTACAACTCACTGAAAGCTCAGATGGTGATTAACATTTTTAGCAAGAAAGTATTTTTTAATGAAGATACATAGATTTTTGAGACCTAGTGTCATTGCACATTTAGTAGACTACAGTGTAGCATAAGTATAACTTATATGCTCTAGGAAACCAAAAAATTCACTTGACCCACTGTATTGTGATACTCACTGTACTGTGGTCTGGAACCGAACCCGCAATATCCATGAGGTATGCTTATTGAGGCCTGGCCTCTTCACCAGGTTTTTAGTGTTTAGTATTAGTGAGGTTTAGTGGTGGTCCACACCTCTCCTGAGGTAAAGGTCTAGCTTCTGTCGACCCTGAAAATAAAACTGCCAGTTATTTTACCAGCAAAATGGGTTTATTTAAGAGTGGCAGAGGAGGGCACCTGGGTGGCTCAGTTGGTTGAGCGACTGCCTTCGGCCCAGGTCATGATCCCAGAGCCCTGGGATCGAGTCCCGCATCGGGCTCCCAGCTTAGCGGGGAGCCTGCTTCTCCCTCTGACCCTCTCCCCTGTCATGCTGTTTCTCTCTCTCTAATAAATAAATAAAATCTTTAAAATAAAAAAAAATTTTTTTTAATTACCATTTCCATAAAAAAGAAAGTGGCAGAGGAATTTTAAATAGGAATATGCAATCTCTGGTAAAACCAAAGGCAAGTCTGGAGAACAAAGGAGAGGAATGTCACTTGGTAGAGAAAAAGGAGTCAGCTGGGAGGGGCTGCTTTGAAGGAAAGTCTGTTAGGAGAAAGTACTAGTTCAGGGTGGTGATGGCTTCTCATTGACTGAGTTGTGGCAGTCTCTCATTGGCTGGGCTGTTGCCAGGCCAGGAGAAAATCTTCCTGTGGGGGTTCTGCAATTGACAGATGGTAGGGCATGAGGGTTCTTCCTTCAGGGCTTCCCCATTCCATTTCAAATGAGGTTTTCTTATTCATTTTCCAAGTTCTGGGGCAGAGTTGAGCTACACTCTGGATAGTGGGAGCCTGAGATGCCAAAGGCCTGGTGTTCAGGAAGAGGCACATTGTGCGGAGTTATAGGTTGGTGTCCAGGTCCGAGCAAGGCCTGGCATTGGACCAGGGAGTCTAAGGAATCTGGCCATCTGAGCCAGAGAGTGGATGGCTCGATCTGGAAGTCCAAAAGAGTGGTGTCTGGGTGACAATCTCGGGAGTCTGGCCTAGAACCCTGATTGAAGAGTCTGATGATCTGGGTCAGATGGTGGGTAGTAGATTTCCAAGGAGTAAGGTCCGGACCTAAGCCCTAGGATCTGGGTGTCTGGGTGACCTGGCTCTGATGAACAGGGGGACCTGGGACCAGACTCTGAGGGCAGGTCCCTCTCCTCCCCATTCCATGGCTCCCACAGGAGGAAGAGGACCTCCCCTATGAGGAGGAGATCATGCGGAACCAGTTCTCGGTCAAGTGCTGGCTCCGCTACATTGAGTTCAAACAAGGTGCCCCGAAGCCCAGGCTCAACCAGCTGTATGAGCGGGCACTGAAGCTGCTGCCCTGCAGGTGGGAATTGCTCCAGCCCCCCCCCCCCCCCATCCTGGTCTAACAGAACCAGTCGGGAGGTCCCCAGGGATGGCTCATGTTTTGGCACCAAGTAGCCGTCCCCCCATTGCTGAGACTTGTCATGCTTCCCCAGGCCCCTTCTCCCGGCAGTTGCTTCGTGGGGGCAGGGGGAGGGGTTTTGGGGGGCTGTAAGGGGGACCGGGCATCCCCTTTCCCCCCCCCCCCCCCCCCCCAGCTACAAACTCTGGTACCGATACCTGAAGGCACGCCGGGCACAGGTGAAGCGTCGCTGCGTGACTGACCCTGCCTATGAAGATGCCAACAACTGCCACGAGAGGGCCTTTGTGTTCATGCACAAGGTGGGGGGTGGGGCTCAGTCCTGGGAAATGCACGAAGCTGCGAGTCCTGCCACCTCGGTAGACTTGCAGTTGAGCTAGACCAGCTAGACTGGGTCCTGGAGGAGGGGGTTCTGGGTGTTGCTGCATTCTGGGCCCTAGGGCAGCGGGGGTCTTTGTGGCAGGCTGTGGCGCCTGCAGCGCACAGCACGCCTCTCCCCCACACCTGCAGATGCCCCGTCTGTGGCTGGACTACTGCCAATTCCTGATGGACCAGGGCCGCGTCACGCACACCCGCCGCACGTTTGACCGTGCCCTCCGGGCCCTGCCCATCACGCAGCACTCTCGTATCTGGCCCCTGTACCTGCGCTTCCTCCGCTCCCACCCGCTGCCTGAGACAGCTGTGCGGGGCTACCGGCGTTTCCTCAAGGTAAGCTGGGGGCGGGGGCACATCCTCGAGTCAGGAGGCTCCCAGAGCTAGTTCCCTGGACACTAGCCCCTTGCAGGATGTCACCTGACAGGAAGTGGAGAAAAGGCTTCCTGAGATAGGCTTTTGTTGGCGATTTGTTTATTCTCCACATATTTGCTAGCACCAGCTGTGTGTCCAGTACCGAGACGGGTCCTGGACAGCGTGACAGAGACAGTCTCTGCATGCGTGGAACTTTTTGGTCTAACTGGGCAGACCGGTGCCCATGAGCTGACCACACAAAACCAGGAAAACCGCTACCACGGGAGGGCAGGGACTGTGAGATGAATGGCTGTGGGAGCGTTTCCAGGTGGGAACCGGGTGCGGATGGTGTGTGGCTTTTCTTAAACTTCTAACAACTGTCGTACGTCGTGAAACTCTTAACACGGTGCTCTTTGGCCAGGGGGCTTGTGGTAAACAGCAAGGCCTAGACGGTGTAGGCTCTACCATTGTTGTCTAAGCCAAACCAGTTGGGGCTGGCCTTGGACCAGTGGGGCCCAGACTGGATCGCCGGGGCCTAGGCTGGACCTTTGGTGCTGAAGCCAGACTGGTGGTCCAACCCAGGTTGGACAGGGGTGGCTGAGGCTGGGTCAGCACGGCTGGCTCTTGATCAAGACGGTGGGGATGGCTGACCTGGAGCCGCTGAGGGGGAGGGGGTGTCGTGGTATGGTTCCTCAGCTCCCCCTGACTGCTGATGGGGCCGGTTGCCGTGCAGCTTAGCCCCGAGAGCGCAGAGGAGTACATCGAGTACCTCAAGTCCAGCGACCGGCTGGATGAAGCCGCGCAGCGCCTGGCCACCGTGGTCAATGATGAGCGCTTCGTGTCCAAGGCTGGCAAGTCCAACTACCAGGTGGGCCTGGGGGGGGGGGGGGGTGGGGCAGGACGGCTCGCCCCCCCGTGCGGAACAGGGCTGAGACTTCTCCTCCTGGCACTGCAGCTGTGGCACGAGCTCTGTGACCTCATCTCCCAGAACCCAGACAAGGTGCAGTCGCTCAATGTGGATGCCATCATCCGCGGGGGCCTCACCCGCTTCACTGACCAGCTGGGCAAGCTCTGGTGCTCGCTGGCTGACTACTATATCCGCAGCGGCCACTTCGAGAAGGTGAGCGGGTACGGGAGCTGACGAGGGGAGGGGGGCAGTCCCTCCAGCTTGTGGCATTCAGGGGACGCACGTGGGCATGTGCAGGAGCAGAAAACACATCCAGGTGCACGACCTTCCTGAAGGTGAGGAGAAGTGGTCCAGCCCTGCTGGCAAGCATGCCCATCTTGGGGTTGGCCAGACCTGAGTTCTTCCTGGCTGGATGGCCTTGAACCCACTAAGCCTGGCACAGGAGTTGGTCACCTCAGGAGTCTTACTGGGTGTCAGGCACCTTACACGCATTTCCCTCAAGGCTCATTGGCTCTACACAAGGGACCATCACCGTCAGCTTACTGGGGAGGGGCCAGAGCCAGGGAGAGCCCTCCCAGAGCCAGGGAGAGCACTCTGGCTGGGCAGGGGGCAGGGGACGGCTCCAGGGCATGGCTCCAGTCATGGCTCTGCTGAGTGTCACTGCTCAGAGCCTGACAGAGCTGGCTCTGGACCGCTGCCGGGGCGGCGCTCTTGGGTTCCCTGTGTTCACGCGGGTGGGCAGCCAGCACCTTCCTTTCACTCTTCGTGTGCCCACAGGCTCGAGATGTGTATGAGGAGGCCATCCGGACCGTGATGACCGTGCGGGACTTCACCCAGGTGTTCGACAGCTACGCCCAGTTTGAGGAGAGCATGATTGCAGCCAAGATGGAGACAGCCTCAGAACTGGGGCGGGAGGAGGAAGGTGGGCTTCCGTGGCGGTCCTGGGCTGGTGAGGGGAGAAGGCCGGGCTGGTGGGCAGGGCTCCGAGCGTCCTGAGTGGCTGGGGCAGGGGAGCGGTGCGTCTCCAGGTCTGTCAGGGGCCGGCAGGGAGGGAGGCCGGCCGAGGGGCCAGGGTAGGTGGAACCTCGGAGAGTAGCCAGGACGAGGGCTGCAACTCCAGCCCGGGTGGCCAGGGGAGTGAGTCTCCAAAGCCCAGAGCACGCGGTGGGGACTGTGCCGAGGCCCTCACTTCTGCTCCCTGGCCCTCATCACGTGGAGCAGATGATGTGGACCTGGAGCTGCGCCTGGCCCGCTTCGAGCAGCTCATCAGCCGGCGGCCCCTGCTCCTCAACAGCGTCTTGCTGCGCCAGAACCCGCACCACGTGCACGAGTGGCACAAGCGCGTGGCCCTGCACCAGGGCCGTCCCCGGGAGGTGCGTGACTGCCCCACCCCCTCGGCCCTGCCCCTCCCCCCCACCCCCACCTGCCAGGGCCCTGACTGTCCCACCTGACTCAATCTCTCCCGCCCAGATCATCAACACATACACGGAGGCTGTGCAGACGGTGGACCCTTTCAAGGCGACAGGCAAGCCCCACACGCTGTGGGTCGCATTTGCCAAGTTTTACGAGGACAACGGGCAGCTGGATGACGTGAGTGCTGTGCCATGTGTGTGTGCGCGTGTGGGTGTGCGTGTGGGCGTGCGCGTTGGCCTTGGCCTTGGCCAGAGGACACAGGAGGCACAGACACGGTCACATATGCCTAAGTTATATACACATGCACCCGCGGGGCGCGGGGGGGCAGGGTCTCAGCCTGCCCTCTGTGTGCCCTGGCAGGCCCGCATCATCCTGGAGAAGGCCACCAAGGTGAGCTTCAAGCAGGTGGACGACCTGGCCAGCGTGTGGTGTGAGTGTGGCGAGCTGGAGCTCCGGCACGAGAACTATGACCAGGCCTTGCGGTTGTTGCGGGTAAATGCAAGCCCGGGTTTGGGGCGGGGGGTGGGGGGGCCGCGCCGTGTGGCCAGGCCCAGGACTTCCCTAAGCTCCCCCCTCCGCTGCTGGCTCCCTGCAGAAGGCCACCGCGCTGCCCGCCCGCCGAGCCGAGTACTTTGACGGCTCGGAGCCTGTGCAGAACCGTGTGTACAAGTCGCTGAAGGTGTGGTCGATGCTCGCTGACCTAGAGGAGAGCCTAGGCACCTTCCAGGTGAGCTGCGTGGCCAAGGGCCTGTGGCAGGGGGTGGGCTGGGGCTGCAGACCCTGCCCCAGGACGTGCTCTGACCTGCCCCTGACCCGCAGTCCACCAAGGCCGTGTATGACCGCATCCTGGACCTGCGCATCGCCACGCCCCAGATCGTCATCAACTACGCCATGTTCCTGGAGGAGCACAAGTACTTTGAGGAGAGCTTCAAGGTGAGGGGGTGAGCTGGGGGCCCCAGACAGCAGCGTGTCCTCCTCAGTGCCTTGGGCACTGAGTCAGTGTGCTCTGCCGCCCTAACGAAGTGCCACACGCCGGGGAACTTAAACAACGGAGACGTGTCATCTTAGTCCCAGAGGCTGGAAATCTCAGACTGTGGTGTCAGCGGGGCTGGTTTCTCCTGAGGCCTCTCTCCTTGGTGTGCGGGTGGCCCTCTTCTTCCTGTGGCCTCCCGTGGTCATCCCTGTGTGTGTCTGTGTCTTAATCTCCTCGTTGAAGATTCCAGCCGTTGGATTAGGGCCCACTATAACAATCTCATCTTCATTTCCTTTTTAAAGACCTCATCTCTAAGTACAGTTCCATTCTGAGGTCCTGGGGTTGTGGCTTTGACAGGAACTTGGGGGACACAGTTCACCCTGCTTCTGTGTGTATGGGGGGTGTTTGGTGTGGGTGTGTGTGGGCTGTCCCCGCTCTGTCACTCAGGCCCTGGGTTGTAGGTCTGCACGTGTACACGCTGTGAGGCCCCACCGGGCTGCTTGGCAGGTTAGGTTATGTGCGGAGACTATCCGGACACAGCTGGGGAGGTCATACACGACATGACACACAGGCCACCCCCAGCCTGAGTGATGCAGGCCTTGCCCCTTGGCCCTGGCATGTGAACCTTCTCGCAGGGCTCTGGGTTCCAGTGTCTGCAGAGCTGCAAGGTCCGCCCCTCCACCGCCCCCAAGTGCCCTGCCCATAAGGCTGCCCCCTGGTGCCTTGGTCAGTCCTAGCCCTGCCCTGTCACGGGGGGCTTTGCAGTCTGCTGAGGGAGGCATACAGACCCCTTTGCGTTGTGATTGTAGGGAGGGGTGGCTAGGGAAAGGCCACCTTGCTCAGCCCAAGGGAGACGGGCAGGCTCCCGGCAGCCTGGGCGCCAGGCGCGCTCACTCTGCCTTGCCACGCGTGACTCCCTCTCTCGGGGCAGGCGTACGAGCGCGGCATCTCGCTGTTCAAGTGGCCCAACGTGTCCGACATCTGGAGCACCTACCTGACCAAATTCATCGCCCGCTACGGGGGCCGCAAGCTGGAGCGAGCACGGGACCTCTTTGAACAGGCGCTGGACGGCTGCCCTCCCAAATACGCAAAGAGTGAGGCGGGCGGGGTGGGCGGGGTGGGGCGGGGCGGGGCGGGGGCCAGGCCGCAGCCTCTGACCCACCGTCCTCCCGGCACAGCGCTGTACCTGCTGTACGCGCAGCTGGAGGAGGAGTGGGGCCTGGCCCGGCACGCCATGGCCGTGTACGAACGCGCCACCAGGGCCGTGGAGCCCGCGCAGCAGTACGACATGTTCAACATCTACATCAAGCGTGCGGCCGAGATCTACGGCGTCACCCACACCCGTGGCATCTATCAGAAGGCCATTGAGGTGCCCCGTGGGGGCGGGGGGCCGTTCTGGAGGCCGGCCCAGGGTCTGGGCACCCCGCTGACGCCCACCCCCTTTCCACCCGGCAGGTGCTGTCAGATGAGCACGCCCGGGAGATGTGCCTGCGGTTCGCAGACATGGAGTGCAGGCTTGGCGAGATCGACCGGGCACGCGCCATCTACAGCTTCTGCTCCCAGATCTGTGACCCCCGGGTAGGGAGAGAGCCTGGTGGGCGGGCAGGAGGATGGGGTGCAGCCGAGCCAGCCGGCTCACGCGCATGCTGCCTACCCTCCACAGACCACTGGGGCTTTCTGGCAAACGTGGAAGGACTTCGAGGTCCGGCATGGCAATGAGGACACCATCCGGGAGATGCTGCGGATCCGCCGCAGCGTGCAGGCCACATACAACACTCAGGTCAACTTCATGGCCTCGCAGATGCTCAAGGTGTCAGGCAGCGCCACGGGCACTGGTGAGCAGCTGCGGGCTACCCCTCAACCCTGGCCAGGTCCTCTCGGCCCGGCCTCTGCCCTCTGCCCAGCCTTGACCTCCTGGTCTGGGAGCACTGGGGGTCCACCTCCACCTCCCCCCCTGGAGACTGGGAACTGCTTGAGGGCTGGGTGCTCAGACAGCTTGGGGCACCCAGAGCAAGGTGGGCCGTGGGCTGTGGTGGGGGCCAATGTGGCTGTGGGGAGGGCAGGACCCCGCTTATGCTGGCTGACCCCGTGCCCCCCGCCGCAGTGTCTGACCTGGCCCCTGGGCAGAGCGGCATGGATGACATGAAGCTGCTGGAGCAGCGAGCAGAGCAGCTAGCCGCCGAGGCCGAGCGGGACCAGCCCCCGCGGGCCCAGAGCAAGATCCTGTTTGTGAGGTAGGGGTGCGGGGGGCGGTGCGAGTGAGCCAGCTCCTGTTCGAGGGGGGGGGTGCCGGGGAGGCCGGGCGGCGTGGCCCCCTCCGTGACCCCGGCCTGCCTGCAGGAGTGACGCCTCCCGGGAGGAGCTGGCCGAGCTGGCCCAGCAAGCCAACCCGGAGGAGATCGAGCTGGGGGAGGACGACGACGAGGACGACATGGACCTGGAGCCCAATGGTAGGGGGCCGGCCGGACAGGCCGCGTGGTGATTTGGGGGGAGGCAGAGGCAGGGCCCCCTCCTGGAGTGACCACGTCCTCCCTGCCTCCCCCTCTTCTCCAGAGGTGCGGCTGGAACAGCAGAGTGTGCCGGCCGCCGTGTTCGGGAGCCTGAAGGAGGACTGACCGCACCCCGGCCCCCCCGCCCCCCGTCTGTCCTCCCCCAATATAGCCTGTGTGTGTACGTCACAGTCTGAGCCTCCTTCCTCCACCCTTCTCGCTGCCCGGGTGCCCGTATGGACTGCCTGCTCAGTGGTGCTCTGGCCCTGGGCCCAGCCCCCACCCTTCCCCGCACTCCCCCCCCCCCCCACCAGATTGGCTGGTGCAGGAGGTGGGGCAGCCGGGCTCCAGGCCAGGGCACACGCCCCACCCTCACCCTGCAGAGCCAGTTCAGGACTCAGAGGCCAGTCTCTGCCGCCTGAGGCCTCCTTGAGGGCCTTGCCCTGGACTGCCCAGGCCTTGCCAGCCGGTACCCACGTTACACTTGGAGATACTCAGCCTCCCCTCTCCAAACTGTTTCTTCCTGAGCCAGGGCGCTGACCTCCTCTCAGGAGAAGGCAGGTCGGCGAGCTTCGCAAGGTACTTCTCGCCCTGGACGGCAGCCAGTAGTCCTCAGCCCTGGGCCAGGGCCGGGGCGTGGTCCTTAGGCCTAAGCTCTGGGAAGCCATTAGTGGGCTCTAAACTATTAAGGGCTTAAGCATTGAGGGATGTAATCAGATTTGTGCCCTGAACAGGCCATGTGGGCTGAGGGATTGGCCTCTTGGGGGGGAGGGGGAGTCAGGTCGTTGGCCTGGACATGGGGATGGAGAGAAGCGGGTGAGACAGAAGAGGCCATTAGGCATCGGGGGCGCGGGGGGGCGGGTCCCGTGCCTGAGCCACGGGGAGACTAGGAGCGCAGGCCGGCTCGAGCTCACGCTGTAGGGCCCACATCCGGTCCTAAGACCCAGGCTCTTGGGTGAGGGGCTTGTAGGAGAGAAACATGGGCATCCTTTCTAGCGGTGGTAACCGAGCCTAGAAACAGAGGCAGGCGGAGAGAAGGTCAAGCTTAGCATCTGGCCGCAGACCAGACGATAGGAGAGGCCAGTAACATCCGCACGCAGGAGAAAAGTGGAGAGGCCACGGGGAGGGGGCCAAGGAGCGGCCATGAGGGGCCTTGGCAGGAACCACATCAGAGTTAGCGAGGTAGAAAGGAAACCTCTCAGGCAGAGATGCCACCGGGTTAGGGTTAGGAGATGCCAACAACACTCACTCGAGCTCTTTCTAAATTATTTTATTCAAGAAGGTGGGGAGGACAGACAGGGGACTGAGCTGAGCCCTGAGTCCCTGAACCTCCCAGCTCAGCCCCCACAGCAGGACAGGACAGAAGTTTAGGGGGTAGGGACCCCAGCCCTACCCAGACGAGGTTGGGGACAGACGAGACCCAGGAGTACCAACTGATTGTCCTCCAGGCTGTCCTCCGGGAGGCCGACGGCTGGGGCCTGTCCCGTGTACCACCGGGACGAGGCTACTTGGGGGTGCTGCCGCCCTTCTTGGGAGTCGTGGGCTTCTTGCTCTGCCAGAGGTGGCCCTGGATGGTGAAGGCGTCTACACTCATGGACATGGTCTTGGCAGGGATCTGGGTAAAGCGCTTGCGGTCCGAGTTGTACTTGTAGATGCCCTCGACCATGGTGGGTGTGACCGTGCGAGGGCCATAGCCCGCCAGGCGGGTCAGCTCCTCTGTCTCCCCGGACAGGGTGTAGAGGGCCCGGAACTGGCAGCTCGAGTCCCGGAAGAGGATCAGGAAGTGGTTGGCCTTGCTCTTCTCAATTTCCTGGGGGGTGATGCAAGCGGTTCGCCAGTGTGCGGGGCCCCCAGCCCTCCCCCGCCCCCCCACCGGCCCCCCAGCCCCCGGTGTGGGCTCACCTCGAGAATGCGGTTCTTCTGCGGTTCGTTCACCTTGCCTGCCAAGCAGCAGTGAGACAGGGCATTGTGTATGATGAACTTGTTGGACTTGGCGCTAGGCTCCTTGTACAGCCGTGGACCTAGGGGGTGGGGCAGTCAGCGGGGCTGGGGGTTGGGGGGGGGGGGACAGGCAGGGCCTGGGGCTCGCTGGCTCCGGCCCCACTTACCTGTGTACTCGGGCACCGATGCCGGGGAGGAGGCGTTGCTGCCATTCTCCCAGTCGCGCTCACGGCTGCCAGGCAGGCGGCTGGGGGACATGAGGCCGGATGGGGACGGAGCCCTGGGGGGCAGGGGAGGGCAGGAGGGGATGGGGATGCAGTCAGTGGTAGAGGAAGTCTCCCCAGAGGCAGAGGGACCAGGGAAGGGAGGGACCTAAGACCCTGTGGAGCGGGGGGATGCGTGCGTCCATGTGCACGTGCGTGCGTGTGCGTGTGTGTGTTCCAGCCACAGACGCCCGCGCCCCCACTCAGGTGCACCCCCGCTCAGGTACATGGCCGTGTTCTTGAGGCCCATCAGCAGCCCCCCTTGTGCACATGCACAGGACTGCGTCCTCACCCCTTCAGCAAGACACCCACGGACCCCGAGAGGCCTGCCTGGCCCAAACTCACCGAGACGTGGGCCTCTTCACGCCGAGGTTATTGGGGGCCTCATTGGCCACGGTGGACAGTGACAGGGTGGACTGAGAGTAGACTTTGCTGAGCCGGGAGCCTGGGAGAAGAGCGCATGGGGTCATTCCTACCCACAGCCCTGCCTCCACAGGGCCTGGGGGGTGTAGGCTGCGGAGGGAACACGGGGTCAGCCCCGCCTCCTGAGACCCTCACCCTGTGCACTCCAATTGAGCGGACTTCTGCCCACCCATGGAGGGAGGGGGCTGTGCCCAGCAGGCGGGAGGGAACCCCCTGCCCAAAGCTCTTGCTCCTAAACATCCCTGAGAGAGCCTTGCATCCCTTAAGCTCTAGAGAGAACTCTGGGCCAGCTCTGCCCAGCAGGCCTTGCCCCACTGTACCCCCAAATCCCTCTGGAAGTCGAACAGGCATGGGCAACCCCCCAAGACCCCTTTCACCCCATGTACTCATGGGGGTCTCGGCAAGCCCTGGACACGCGCACTGGGCAGGCACCAGCCCTGACACCCCAGCCCTACAGGGTCCTTACCCAGCAGGCCACGGGCAGGGCTTCGTGCCAGGGCCGAGTCATCACAGCAACCAGAGCGTGGCCGGGGGGCCCTCCGCCCGCCCCGGCCCGGCCCCCCGGTCCCCGCAGCCCGTGGCCGCAGCACTTTGTCAAGGTCATCCATCAGCTTCAGCTGGGCCCTGCGTTCATACTCGAGCCGCGTGAAGTCCCCCCGCCTGGGGCCCACTTCTTCCTCAGCTGGGGCCCTCCCGGCAGGGGCTGGGGCTGCTGTGGGGGCCACAGGAGCTGGGGGGGCCGGGGCACCCGCGGTCACCTCCTCCTGGGCCAGCCTGCAGATTAAGAGTTATCGAGCAGTCAGACCGCTCACAGGTTCACTGGCGGCAGGGGTCCCGGGCAGCCCCCAGCCTCACCGTGCGGCCTCTTCCCTCCGCTGCTCCTTCTCGGCCTCCTGCCACTGTTTCCGCCGCCGCGCCTCCTCTGCCCGCCGCTGCTGCCGTTCCAGCAGGCTGGCCCGCTTTTGGGCCATCTCGTCCTCGGGCTTATCTTCATCCTGGGGGCAGGCACCGAGTCCAGCTGGCCGTCGCTCCCCTAGTACTTCTGTCCACCCCACCTGCTAACCACGCACCCCTCCTTTTCCTTGTGTAACTGGTCTGAAGGCACTTAGCGGGTTCCTGCTTTGTGCACGGCCCTGAGCTGGGTACCGGGGCACAAGGGGGACCGAGCCAGACTGGGTGCTGTTCACACCAAGCGCTTAGCCCAGTGGGAAAGGCGACCTGATAGATCAGCAGCAGCTACCAGGCCGCAGTGTAGGGAGGGACCTTATCCCAGCCTGAGGGCACTAAGCAAGGCTTCCAGAGGTGACCTTCGTGAAGAAGGACAGGGACTTGGCTGGGGAGGGGTGGGAGGTGAAGAGGGTATTCTAGGCCGAGGGAACAGCAAGTGCCAAAGCCCTGAGGCTAGAACAAGCCTAGCAGGCATGGAAAGGGCGGGGGCAGGTGTGCTGGGAGGTAGAGCCAGGGAGACGGGCATAGGACAGGTCAGAGGTGAGCAGGGCCCAAAGCCGTGGGAAGCACTTTTTTTTAATTCTAAGACCAAGGGGAGCTGCAGAAGGGTTTAAGTAGAGAACTGACAGGGTCCGGTTTACATTAAAAAAAAAAAAAAAATGAATTGGCCATTGAAAATGGCCAAGGTTGGAGGGGGTGGGGGGGTGGTAGAGGCCAGTCAGCACGTGACTGCAGGCGTCCAGGTGAGACCACTGGCCCAGGCCGGGGGAACTATGAGGATGGAGAACGGACAGGGAGGAGGAGGAAGGGGGACTGGCAGGGCCCTGGTGGGGAGAGTGGGAAGGAGAGAACAGGAGGGAGGAGATGCCATGGAAGACCCCAGCCCTGCCTGTCCACTTACTCCTGTCCATCTGTCTGTCACCCACCCCTCCATCCGTCGTCCACCCGTCCCTCTACCCACCCACCCATCTGGCCACACACACCCTGTCTGTCTGCCCACTCCCACCTGGCCATCCACCTCCCGGTTTATCCACCAGTGATCCCACTCCCTGAGCACGCAGCCACCCACCCGGTCCCTCCCCCCACTGGCTCAGGTGACTCTCACCTTATAGAAAAAGCCCAGCCCGGCCCGGGGCTCTCCCTCTGAAGACGCCTCTTCCTCCAAGGAATCCTCAGCACCAGGGGGGCTCCCATCTCCCTCGTCCTCGGCTGTGGGCTCTTCCAGGCTGCCCAGTGGGATCTCAATGAGGCCAGGCCGGGCCACAGGCTCCTCTGGTGGTGACCCCTCCGCCAGGAGGATAGAGGAGCGTGTCTGCACAGGCACCTGACTTGGCGAGAACTTGCGCAGGTGGGGGAGGCTGTCTACATCGTGGGGAGGTGTGAGCACTCTTGTCAGGGGTGCTAGCCGCAGCTCTGCTGGCCGTGCATGTTTCGGGCTTCGGGGTGTCGGGCTGGGGCCAGGCCCGGGGCTGCGCCGGGCAGCTGGGGCACGCCGAGCAGGGCTGGGAGACGCGGCTTTGGGACCCACTGTGGGACCAGGGATGACCCATGCAGCAGGTGGTGGGGCAGGCCCCGGGGCCTCGGGTGGGGCCAGGAGCCGCTGCTGCTGGTCCGTGAGCCTCTGCATGTCCCGCTGCAGTGAGCTCAGCGCAGCACTTAGCTTGCTGACCGCCCGGTTATAGTCCCCCAGCCCCTCGGGGGGCACCGGGCCCAGTTCAGGTGAGAAGGTCACTGCCTTGGGCCGTGGGGCCGGATCGCCCTGGCCCTCGCCCGCTGGCCGCTCCCCACCAGGGACCGGGCCGGGGTCCGCCTCCGCCTCCCCTCCAGCCTCCCGCGGCTGCACCTGCAGGAAAGCGCTCTTGCCCAGTCGCTGCCGGTGTTTAGCAAAGATGGCCTCGATGCGCCGCTTCTGAGCCTCGATGGCCCTCCGTTTCTCCTCCAGCCGGGCCCCCAGCTCACTCATCTCCGAGCTCAGGGCCTCTGCTGCGGCAGGGGTGGCTGCCGGGGACCCTGCCTCGGCCTCAGCCTTGACCAGCTGCTTCTTGCGCTCAGCAAAGCTGGTCATCTTCACCTCAGAGTTGCCAGCCGCAGGGGATGAAGCTGCTGCCTTCGGGGAGCCCTCAGACAGGGCCGGTGATTTCGACAGCTCCCCTGCCGGGCAGGGAGACGGTTTCAGGGGGCCCTCAGGGTGGGGCACATAGCTGGGTGCTTGGGTGGGCGCAGCGGGCAGTGGCTTTGAGGCCCCATCGAGGGGGTAGGGGGAGGCCAGCGGCAGTTTGGAGGAGCCCTCAGGGGAGTGGAGGTAGAAGCTGCCGTCGGCCGCCCCGTCTGGGAGCAGCCGGGGCTCGGCGCTGTGGATGATCTGCAGGGCCTCCTCGATGGTAGGCAGGTCTCCGGGCTCCGGGGGCGGCTGGACGGGGGTCCGGGCTGGCACCGGGCGCGGGGGGCCCAAGCTGTCCGAGCTGACCGAGCGGAGGAGGACGGGGTCTCCCATGACAACATCCACGTCGCTGTCCAGGCCAAAGGGGGTGCTGAACGACACTGCCTGGGAAAGGGGACGGCTGGGCGGCAGGAGGGAGGGGTCAGCCCCTGGGACAAGCCCCAGCCCCACCCCTGCCCAGGCTGCTCCACCGGCCCTTGGGACGCACTCACCTGAGCTGACGGTTCCAGGCCTTGCCGAGGGCCTCCATGTGGGACATGGACGGGGAGGACTTCAGTGAGCCTGGGGAGAGGTGGTGAGTGGTCACTCAGTGGTCACTATGGAGTCGCTGGGCCCTGGGTGAGGTCTGCCAGGGGGTGTCACTGATGGGGCATTATGTGGACAGAGAGCTGGGGACCGCTGGGGGGAGGGGTCAGTGAGGGTCACCATGGGGTCATTCAGGTGGGACCCAGTGGAGGGATCAGGAGGAGACATGAAGCCTGCTAAGGCAGCGTTTGGGTAGGGGTCTCCAGTGACCAGCTGTACCCCTGCCCTCACCTGTGGATCCACGGAGTGGGGACTGGGGGCCGCCAGATGACAGAAGCGGGTGGCGGAAGTTGAAGACAGGAGAACTGCCAAGAGATGCACGTCAGCCAAGGGGACCCCCCCCCCCGGACCTGCTCACCTCTCCCAGGAGTGGAGCAGAGAGCATCCCCTAGCCCTGGCACAGCGCCCAGTGAGGGGAAGAGCCCACCACGGCCATGGAGATTCACCCAACAGGGAAACTGTACCTGCAGCCACTGCTGTTCTGAGCAGGAGAGGCCTCCGTGGCCCGGGGGGAGGCCGCTGCGGCAGGGAGAGCAGGGTCAGGCAGGGCTCGGCCTCCCTACCCCGCCCCACACCCAGGGCCAGGCCTCACCGTGACCATCAGGCAGGTCCTTGGCCTGGACGAAATCAGGTTTCAGCACCTCAAAGCACATGAACATCTCGGCAAGCAGCACCACCAGGTTGATCTGGAGGCAGGAGGCAGGGTCAGCCAATGGGATGCATGGCCCTGGACGCCTGCCTCGGCCCCCAAGGCCTCGAGATGACCTTACCTTGAGGGGCGGTGGGACATAAAGCAGGTCCTCGAGGGAGAGCGGGCAGCCACGAGGAAGGCGGGAGGCACAGAAATCCTGCACCAGCTGGAGGTTGTACAGGCTGTCCGCCACGGACATGGGGTCCTTGAGGCACACCTCTGTAGGGACAGCATACCTGGGTCCCCAGCTCCATGGGAAGGAGGACGGGGCCCTGGGGAAGCGAGGGCCTCCTACGGGCCGGGCCTCATGCTAAGTGCCTTTCACAAAGTGGGTACTAGGATAGGCTGTTCCTAGGGCCTCTGCATCTGTTCCCAATGGCCTGGAGAACTAGTTCCACAAAAACTCAAACTCAAAAAGCTCTTCCTGACCACCTGGCCCCGCTTGGAGCACCTAACATCCAGAATGTTCTCCTGGCTGAACTCACTGTCCTTCTCTCCCAACTAGGAGGTGAGCTGCCTGAGGTCAGGAGCACATCTGTATTGTTCTCACTGGATCTCTGGCAACTGCAATAGAATCTGGCATTCCATAAATATTTGCTGCAGGAACGAATTATATGAAGTGCAGAGTTGTTTAGACACTTGTGCGAGGTCACACAGCTAACTGGGGGAAAAAATGTGCAAGCCCCGGTCCACCAGTTCTGGAAGCTGCACTCATAATTACTGCCCCACTCTGGGGCAGATGCCTGGGTGCCAAGCTCCCAAGGACAAGTGTGGCCCAGGCCCACGCACTCACCCTCGAGTCGCAAGAGCTGAGGACAATAGCAGTGAATTGTGGCAGCTAGCGCAGCCCCACTTGCCAGATCCTGGAGGGTGGTCACATTTGGAAAGCAGGGGGCGCGTCGGGCCACAGCTCGGTCCTTGCGGTATCGGATCTGCAGGTGGGAGCCAAGTTAGGTCAGAGGCTCAGGCTGGCCCCAAGTCAGCGGTCATGCAGGCTGGGTGGGGAGGCCTGGGGTTTCCGCCATGAGGGGGCGTGAAGCTGGGGGTCCCAGAGCCAGAGTGGGGCCAGCCTGGAGCGGGGGAAGGGTAGCAGCGAGCAGCCAGGCCAGCAGCGAGGGCTGGGGCAGGACTCCTGGGACCCCGGGGCGGGGGATACATTACCATGGGGGGTTTGCTCCCCGACTCCTTCAAACAGAAGGCAATTGCGTGCTGGGGGGGAGAGGAGCAGCCGTCAGCGGGGCGGGAGGGGTGCTGACTTGCTGGGCCCCCAAGCACACCTCCAGGGGAGGGGGAAGATAGCCCTGACCCTGTCATGAGCCCTGGCCATCCAGCTCCGACCGCGCTCTGGCCGGCTTTGGGGACCCCAGCTCCTCCCAGCCTGGAGGGACCCCACAGAGCAGCCTCCCATGCAGGGAATCTCCCCCCGCCTCCCCCCACAAAAGACCCAGGCCCCAGCTCGGGGAGGGGATGCAGAGGAAGCAGGGAGGCAGAAGGAGAGGAACCCCCAACCCAGGCCCGAGAGTGGAAGGAAGGGGGCCCCAGAGTGAGCAAAGGCAGAGACCCCACCCAGCCCAAAGCCTTCCACTTGCAGGAGTCACTTGCCCCTTGTTGTGCTTCAAGGATGGAACCCCCCCCATCACCACCACCAAAGCTGGGACTTGTCCTTAGGGAAAGTGGGGTCTTGGAAAGGTTCTTCCACCTTCTTCTGGGTTTGGGAGTCTTCCTCTTGACTAAGGGGGTCTTCTCCATGTGTGCCCTGCCACGGGGGTCAGGATCCATATGTCTGAAGGGCAAGAGTCCTCCCTTCAGAAGTGCCGGAAGTCTCCCAGCTCAGCTGAGATGGACAAGCCGAGGAGCTCTGCCCTCTTAATTGCTGGGAAGGGAGGTTCATCCCCCTGAACAGTAACTGGGGAGGGGTCTGCCCGGTCAGTTAACAGCAGAAATTCCTCTCCTCTCTGAGGCTACAGAGGGCTTCTCTCTGTCCCCCAGGGCTGGGGTCCCACGTCTTTTGCTCACAGCTGGGAAGAGGTAGGAGAGGGAGCAGACAGGCAGGCAGAACAGACACATGGAGACAAAGCGACAAGCAAGGCAGGCGGACGGGGCGGAGAAACAGCCCCACTTACAGGAACCAGCTTCCAGTACCAGCGTGTGGGGCACTGATGCCAGAGAGGCAGAGGGGAGAGCAGGAGAGGCACAGGGGAGAGGGGAGAGAGAGAGAGAGTCACCTCCAGCAACCCCCCCCCCCGAGTGCAGGAACGGCCTCGAGGTGCAGCCCTTCCCTGCCCACCCAGCCATCCAACTGTCCTTGCATCTGTCCATCCGTCCATTGCCCTAGCCTCACCGAGGGCTGTGCTGGGGCCACCCCATCTGCAGGGGCCACAGGAGAGGCTCTCTGGGCAGCTTCCTGCTCCGTCTTCTCCTGCAGCCGCCGGATGGTCTGGGGAGCAGGGAGCGGTCAGAGCTCCGGTCGCCGGGCGATCCTGGCCCCCAGCCCATGCCAGCCTAACCCCACCTACCGTGTCCACCCAGAAAAGGAGCTTGTGCTCCAAGCTGGCCAGGGCCAAAGGACCGGGCAGTGTCTTTGTCCACTCGAAGGCGAAGGCAACCATGAGGGCGTCAATGACAGCTAGGTGGGCTCCCTGTGGAGGGAAGGGCTGAAGGGTGAGACCAGGGCGAGGGATGGGGGCTCCTCTCGCCTCTGAGGGAGAAGAGGAGGAAGAACCTCAAGTTTGGGTGGGTGGGGGCGGGGCCTGAAGTAGGAGGGGCTTTAGAGAGGGGCCTCGGTTAGCGGGTGGGGCTTCAGGGAAGGAGCAGGATAGGGGTCCTGGAAGAACCTCTTCTGGTGCGCCATAAAGCATGGCCTCAAGGGCCAGAGTAGGGCCTCTGGGGAGGAGCCAGGCCTGGTGGGCGGAACCTTCAGGGGGAGCGGGGCGGGGCCTGGCAGACTGGGGCGGGGCCTACCATGAGGATCGGCTGGTGCTTCAGGTCGGCCTCCTGCACGGGGCGCTCGGGCAGGGCGGGCACTGTGCCCCTCCGCGCCAGCAGGGCCAGCAGCGCCGAGGGGCTGGGGGGGGGTTCGAGCTGCGGCAGCGCCTGGCGCCAGGCCCGGCAGTAGAGCTCGGCCGAGAGCAGCAGCCGCGTCACCGGGGGCTTCACGTGCTCCTGCGCGTACTGGTCGGTGTAGAAGGGCTCCCACAGCTCCGAGGGCACATGCTCTGTGGGGCGAGGCGGGGGACAGCGGGTCAGGGCCCGGGCATCCGCAGGGAGGACGGCACCGGGACGGGCGGGAGCGCGCCGGGGGAAGGGGCTCCAGGTGGAGGGGCCCGCGCCGGCGGGGGGCCAGGCGGCGCGAGAGAGCACAGCGCGGCTGGGGGACGGCAGCTCTGGGACCCGAGGGGAGGCGGCCACCTGCGCAGGGGCTTTCTGGGACGTGGGTGGGCTTGGAGGCCCTCAAAGAACAATCACAATGACAAGATGGCTTAATTGATCTCCCGGGGGGGGGGGGGGCACCAGCCTGGGAAGCAGCCAGGGTACAACAGGTAACTCCAGAAACCTGAGCAAGGCCACACAGCTGGGCAACGCTGGCCCTGGGAGTCAGACCCAGGCCTTCAGCAGACTCTACACCCTGTCTCAGCTTGGAGGCTGGGGTGGGGTGGGCTGTGGAGTGCAGGGCTGGCTGGCAGGGCACCGAATGGGGGAGGTGGCCAGACTGCAGACATGCGGCGGGGTGGGGGGGGTGAGGGGTTTGTACCTGGTGACTGAAGGGTGGAGGCAGGGGAGGGAGAGGGAGGCACCCAGGCCCCATCAGGTGTGACTGGAAAGATGGGGGGCAGGAGGGGAAAGGGTTAGGGGATACAGGAGGGGCAGCAGGTGAGGCAGCAGGTGAGGCAGCAGAGGCTGAACGTGAGGGGCTGGGCTTTAGGAGAGAGGTGAGGGCACCTTGCAGAGGCAGCCACAAGACCCCTGAAAAGGCTGAATGAGACAGGCAGGGTAGGAAGAAACTGGAGGAAGCCCCATGTGGAGGGAGGGGTGGGTGGCGGAGCCCCAAGCAGGACCCAAGGGTGGGGAGGAGAAAAACCAGAATAAGGCACCAGGAAGATTCTCTGGGGAGGTGACTGAAGCCAGCATGGGGAACCAGCCCTCGTGGGGGGGTCTTCCAGGGAGGCCCCAACTCTAACTTCCAATCTGAACAGTTGTTTTGTCTTTTGGGGTTCCGTGTGTCTGAAAGAATGGGGGGCAGGATTCTACTGCTTAAAAACATTTGCACATGACATGGCAGACCCTCCTCAGGCGCCTGTCTTCACAGCCATGCTCCCCAGAGACCCCCTGCCCTCACCTACAAGGACTCAGGCATCCTTCCCTTTGACGCCTCCCTGCCCCAGCTCCTTCTCCACCCCCTAAAATCACCCTTGACCTCCCCCACTTAAAGCTCCACTCCTGTGGAGAGTTGTGCCCATTCTCTGCCCCTCTCAGCGCAGCTCCTTGAAAGAACAGAGTTCTCCAGGCTCTGCTTCCTTCCACCGGACGCCAACCCCAACCTCCCTGAGACTCCTGCCCTCCCAGCTCCCAGCCTCCCCAAGGCCAGCAGCGGACCTCCAACACACAGTTGTGGGCCGTATCTTGCCTGGGCGTTCTGCCCAGCACCTCCTTGTTCCGGAAACCTTCCTCCCCCAGCATCTCCCAGCTTCCCATCTTTTTCTCTGTCCCACCACTCAAGCCAGGCCTCCTCCCCACATGCCCTGTCAATGCCAGGTTCAGAACAGCCCTGTAAATGGGTATGTACTCCACCCCACCCCCACCCCAGTGACGGCTTCCCTGTCCATCAGAGCACTGCCACCTGCTGCAGCCCAGGCCTTGTGTCCCACTGCCCTCTGGGCATCTCCCATGATGCTCAGTACCTTGCTCCAAACCCGCTCCTTCTCTCTGAAATTGCACTAAGAAATCACCATTCCCCCCTGCCCTACACCTAATGTTCTCAGGTTTCAACCTCCTGGCATCTCCCCAGCCCCTGCTCATTTCCTGCTCCCATTGGCAAAATTAAACAAGTTTCCTTCTGGGGCGCCTGGGTGGCTCAGTTGGTTAAGCATCTGCCTTCGGCTCGGGTCATGATCCCGGGGTCCTGGCATCAAGCCCCGTGTCTCTCTCTCTCTCCCTCTGCCCCTCCTGACTGCTCATTCTTTCTCTCTCTCAAATAAAATATTTAAAAAGAAAGAAAGAAAGAAAGAGAAAAAGAAAGAAAAGAAAAAGAAAAAGAAAAAGAAAAAGAAAAAGAAAAAGAAAAAGAAAAAGAAAGGAAAGGAAAGGAAAGGAAAGGAAAGGAAAGGAAAGGAAAGGAAAGGAAGAAAGAAAAAGAAAGAAAACTTTCTTTCCTGCAGGACTTGTCAGGGCCTTCAAGATGAAAACCATGAGCTAGGGCTACCAATAGCTAATGTTGATCAAGCACTTCCTCTGTACCTGTGTGTGTGCCTACACCTCAGCACTACTGGCATTTGGGGCTGGATAATTCTTTGTGTTTCGCAGGGGTTGGGGTAGGCTGGCCAGTGCTTTGTAAGACGATCACCAGAGTCCCTGGTTTCTACTCACTAAATGCCAGGAGCACCCTCCTTCTAAGTAGTGACAACCAAATGTGTCTCCAGAGACTCTCAAAGGTCTCCTAAGAGGCAGAACCACCTCCCCTTTAGTAGAGAGCCACCGTTCTCTACTAAAAATGTTTATTAGGCATTTACCATAGGGTAGAGCTGTCCAAGAGAAAGACAATTTGGTCCACATATGTAGTTTTACACTTTGTAGCTGCCCCATTAAAAACACAGAAACGAGTAACCTTAGTAATATATTTAACCCAAGACGTACCTGATACTATCATTTCAACATGTAATTAATATAAAAACATCATGAGATATTTCACTTTTTTATATGAAGTCTTCAGAAGCCACGGTGCGGTTCATTTACGTTTACAGTGCATCACGACTTAGACCAGCCCCAGGTAGCTGTGGCCGCATCCTGGGACCGCACAGCTCTAAGCATAGCTAGCATTTACTCAGACCGAAGCCACCTTGCATGCGTTTGCTCGTGTAATCCTTAGGACAACTTAGTCTTAGCCCCACTGTACAGATGAGAAAACCAAGGCCCAGAGAGCTAACTCACCCAAGATCACACAGCTAATAAACGACCCAGCTGATGTGAACCCAGTTTCCCTGTAGGTCATACTGATGCTCCGGCATAAGGGACTTCATGCGGTGTTTCCCAAACTTGCACAGAGATGGCACCCTTTCTTATCTCTGAGCAAGAGTCCTATGGAGCCCACTGGCCTGCATTCCTGCCCAGCCTCCTCCCACCTGCGCCTCCAGGCCACCAGAACTACCTGCTTCCTGGGCAACTGCATATGTGATCTCATTTTGTCAAGTCCTCAAACATGGTCCATAGCTCCCCAGTGATTTCAGATCCACCCCCCCCCCCCCCACACACACACCCCTTGAGAGGCCCTCCTCAGTCCCACCAGGCTCTCTCATCTCCCACCTTCCCCGGCCACCACCCCACCACCAGGACCTGCACGGTCTCCTCTGAGAACTCCCTGTTGGTCCAAACCCCAGGCCTTTTCACATGAGGTCTCCTCCCCCTGGCCAACTCCTATGCATCCTTCAAGGTTCAAACCCTCCCTCCTTTGGGGAGACTTTCCTTCTCCTTCCCTCCCCAGCAGAGTTCAGGGATTTCCTCCCCCGGCCCCGCGGCAGGCCTCTACAACACAGACCTTATCACTCTAAGCAGCAATGATCTGGTTCCATGTCCCATCCCCCCTCTCTCCCAACTGCACCCCCACCCCCTCTGTCCAGAGCACCCAGCCACCAGCCTGGCAGCCAAGGCGCATCAGTAGAAAGTCCCAGAGTTCATGAATCAGGCAGAGCTCTGTTCCCCACTTCCCTCTCTGGGCCTGGCGCCCCACCTTCCTCAGCCCCAGCTGTCCGAGAAGGAGGGTGGGACTGAGGACTGAACATGACCCTCGGGGAGGATACCGCACAGTGCAGGGAGCTGGGTCAATGAGAACAGAACTGGGGGAGTCAGGGCATCTCCTCATGAGACCTCACTTTCCCTTCTGTGAAATGGGACAGTAATTTCTGCTCCATAACATTATTAATAAAAATACCACTACTGATCACAGCAGCAGTGATAGTGAGCAGACGTTTAGAACGTACAGTATGCCAGGCCAGCAACCTTGTGAAGAGGGTCCCCATCACCCAAGCACCGCCCTGGCACGTAGTGGGTGCACCCCCCGGAGACACTTGCAAAATGGATAAATGAATAAATGCTCTCTTTTCCAGAGGGGGAAACAGCAGCTTTAGAGAACTGGGATAATTCGTCCATAACCTGGTGGAGCTGGGACTCAAACCCAGTTCTGATTCCCAAAGTCGAGCCTTGAAGGGCCACGTAACCTGGGACGGGAGAGGCTGGGACAAACCTGGGTCTCTCCCCACCAGCCTCCTTTCTTCCCCCAGCAGATCCTCGGGGAAAGGCAGGCCCACAGTGGGCCGTGCATGGGAGGGTGCTGGGAGAAAGACACAGGCTTGGGCGGACCCAGGAGATGGGCAGCGGTCCCCGAGCCCCACACCCAGAACAGGTTGATCTGGGAAGGCCACTGAAGGGGGGATGGGCTGTGCCCAGCTGGTGCCAAGACCAGGGGGCCGGCCGGTGGGAGAGCAAGGCGTCCCCACAGGACTCCCCGGAAGGCCCAGACCTTAATTAACCCCGGCTGCCCCAGAACAGGCCCTGGCTCCCAGCTCTGGCCTGAGTGCCGGGGCTGCCCTAGGGCCCTGACTTGGCCCACTCAGGCCCTCGAATCCTGGGGACCTACCCGCATCCTTCCCCTTGGGGTGGCCTGACTTCCGCACACATGTGGGCCTAGGGGAGGAGTGGAGGCTCTGTCCCGGTGGGAAAAGGCCCTACACCTGGGCCCCCACCCCCGCCGGTCTCGGACAGGCCAATTCCCTTCTCCCGGGCTCGCCCGCCTCCTAGGCAAAATGGGGTAATAAGTCACAGCTGCCAGCCGCTGGCCGCGGCCATGGAGGCGAAAGGGACTCCCGGAGCTGCCCTCGCCGCCCGCAGCGCAGGGAGGGCTGACGCGGGGTGTGGGTCCCGGCTGCGGGGCGGTGGGGGGGGGGGTCCTCGCGGGGGCGTGACGTGAATGTGTAAGGGGGGAAGGGCGTGCAAGGCCGGCCCGGGAGACCCCGCCCCGCTCACCTGGGCTCCCGGACGCCGGGGTCCCGGCGCGGATCTGGGCCCGCCGGCCCCACCCCCACCGCGCTCCCGCAGCCGGGCGAGCAAAGTCCACCGCCCGGGCCGAGCAGGAAGCCCGGAGGCCCCGCGCGGCGGGGCCCGAGCCCGAGCCCGGGGCCCCCCGGCGGCCGGCGCTATTGTTCCCACGGCCCCGGCCTCCGCGGCCCGGCGCCCCGCCCCCCGCACCTGCCGCCCCCGGCCCGGTACCTGCGCCCCCGAACGCGGCCCGCAGAACCCACGCCAGGCTGGCCGCCGCCTTGGCCCGCGAGAAATCGTACTGGTCCAGCGACTTGATCTCGGGCACCAGGAAGGTCCTCCGCAGCGGCCCGGGCCCGGGGGGCGCCGCCTCCACCATGGCGGCGCCGGGGCTGCGAGCGCCGACTCCGCGCTCGCTCCAGCTGGGCAGCGCCGCGCTCGCACCCGGACCGGGCCCGCCGCCGCCGCCTCCGAGCCAGGTGCGGCCGCTCGCGCTCGCGACGCAGCGTCGGCCCCGCCCCGGGGCGGAGCCCAGGTGCGCCCCTCCCCCGGCCCCGACCCCGACCCGGTCCCCCGCCCGCCCTGGCCTCGCCTGGCCGCCTGCCGCGGGGTGGGGCGGGCCCGGACTGCGGGGGTGGCGGGAGGCTGCGGAGGAGTGCGTGTGCGCGCGTGCGCTGGGGAGGGTGAGGGACCCTCTGCGATGTGTGTGCTGGCCCAAGTGTGTACCCTTAGATGTGAGTGTGAGCATCCATGCGGGCTTGTCATTCCTGGCCAAGAGGCAGCGTGTGCGTGGGGGCACCTGTGTCCGATTGCGTATTGTGAGCGTACAAGAGTGTGTGTGTTCTTATTAGTGTGTGCGTCCCTGAATGTAGTCGGGTGGTGACTGTATTTGAGGGTGTCTGCGTGTGCGTATCTGGGTGGGAGTGTGACAGCACATGTGTGTGCCCGTGTTTTTCATGTGTGTTGTGTGAACAAGGATCTGTATTGTGTAGGTGTCTGTGTCAAGGGGATATAGGCGTGGTGAGTGTGCATATTTGTGTTTTGTCAGTGGCTTTGCGAGTGTGCGTATTTGTGAGCATCTATATGTACTTGTGTTTTGTATGAGGGTGTGAAGAAGTGGCAATGAAGGAGCCTCGGAGAGGAATTGAGGGCATTGTGTATTTATGCAACCGTGTGACTACTTGTATCTATGAATGTGGTTGAATGGGTATGAATGGATACACTTGCAAACCTCTGAGCCCCTTTTGTGGATATTTAAATATTTGCTTGTGTATTCCATTGTGGTTTTGTGTCAAAACATCTGCCTGTTAGCTGTATGGAATTGTGAATGCACAAATGTTTGTGTTAAGTCTTTGCAGGCCTGTGTGTCTGTGTGTATAGTCGGGTGTAATTGCATGTGTATAATAAGTGTACATATGTGTTTGGGTTTGTATGTTATCTCTTCTTGACCTGTATGACTTTTTGAGTGTATGTGTGTGAAGCTGCTGTTTACATCAGTGTGAATTTGGGGATATTTGCATGGATCTGTGTGTGAGCATGAGTGTGACAAGGTGCACATGTGGATCTGTTTCCTGAATGTAAATTGAGTATCTGAACTTACCTCTTTATGTGTGAGTGTATTTGTGGGTGTGCCTGATTGTGAATCTATGACTGTAGTGTAGGGAGGGGTTTGTGCGTGTGTAAGTAGTGTTTTGAATGGCTCTGTGGGTGTGTATGGTTATTTGTGTGTACCTAGATCACATTTGTGTGTCAGATCTAAGTAAGACTAGGTGGGTGAATTCCGTGTAAGGGGTGTAGTGTGAGTTTCTGCCTTTACAACTACAGAGGGAGTTTCATTCAAAACACACGCACGCGCGCACACACACACACAGAACAATCAGTGTTTTCTCAACTATATAAAATTCTATGAGATGAGAAAGCACTACGGCAAGTCTACCTGAGACAGCCCCCCTCCCACATAGTGGTCCCCGAGCCCACACTTTGTAGAAATTCCTGGGTCCCCCTAACATACATTCCACAGGTGTGTTTGAGGCGTGGGTCTCATGGTCCAGAGCGTGTGACTGGAGAGGGGGTGGGTGTGCCCGAGGGAGGGGAGCTGGGGCGTCGGCCCTCCTGCCTGGATGTGCCCGTGCAGGAGGCGGGTGTGGGCACACAAAGGGGCCAGTGTGTATGTGTTTGAACACACATGTTGACATGTGCAATGCACGTGCCTCAGCTCCTGCCCCAATCCCCCTGAAAGACCTGAATGCATCCTTTCCCCACTGTGCCTTGGTTTCCCCATCCGTGGCACTGTTGGGGCTCCTGGCATGGGGAGGTGCCCTGGCCAGGAAGGGCTTGCTGTTATAGGCCGCCACTCTTGCAAGCGTGGCATGTCCTGCTGGCTCACGCTCATGTTTGCTTTTCTGGGAAGGTTCTCATGACCTCTGAGGACCCCAGGGACGAACTTGAGCTAGCACACACTCCTGGGGGGGATGTGCTGTAAACACACAAGCAGAGGCTTCCGGCCCCTGGGAGGGGGCCCGCAGGCCCTCACCTATCCTGGGCTGGAGGGCCTGGGGGCGTCCACTGGTGTCGGTGCAGGAGCTGGGCGCAGTTGCCCTTGCCTCCAGCCCAGCCCCCACACCGGGCCAACTGGAACTCCGGGCTGGGCCAGACCGCCCCACCCACACACAGCCGGCTGGAACCGAGGTCCCACCTACCCCTGAGGGCCTGTTCCTGGGGCCCAGGCAGCTCCAGACACACTGGCTCCCCTGTGTGCAGGCGGTGGCCCTACAGCCCCCCTCCGGCCCTCCCCAAGTCCTCGCCTGCCGCCTCCTCCCTCACCTGGGGCTGCCTTTGGTTCTCACACCTCCTAACTCATCAGACAAGCTCTGGTTATGAAGGTGGGGGTGGGGATGACTTAGAGGGTTCATAGGTCGGGATTGAGGACGAGGTTTTGGGGAAGCATGTGAAGCCCCCAAAAATCATCTGCAAAATTCTGCATGTGTGTGCCCTTTGGGGATCATACCAACAGGTAACAACTTTTGAGAGTCTTTTATGCCCAGCACAATCTCATTTAACCTCACACTATCTCGAGCATAATGAGTATCATACCCACTTTACAGACAGAAACACTGAGGCTGAGAGCCCCAAAGTGACATGGCAAGGAAAATGAAAGGAGGCTTTGAGCCCACTGATCCACTATGCTGCCCTTCCATTCTGAGGCTACCCTACCCTCTCCAACCATTCATGACCCTCAGATGGGGTTGGATGAGGCCAGTAATTGTGGGAACCTCAGAGCAGAGGATGGTTGGGATTCCCTCTCTGTACCTCTTGCCCACACTAAGCTATAGCGATGGGGATTCAAGCATGGCCCCTGTTTTTGTTCTCCCCACCCACACAGTGTCTCACGGTGGCCTCTCTGAAGTTTGGCCTCAGTAGACAGAGATTATTATCAGGACCCCCCCACCACCACCACCACATCCAGGGATCTCAGGGAGACGTTTCTGAAATATTAAAAAAAAAAAACAAAAACCACAGGGACACCTGGGTGGCTCATTCGGTTGGTTGAGCATCTGCCTTCGGCTCAGGTCATGATCTCAGGGTCCTGGGATCCAGTCCCGTGTGGGGCTTCTTGCTCAGTGGGGAGCCTATTCTCCGTCTTCCTCTGCCCCTCCCCCTGCTTGTGCACTCTCTCAAATAAATAAATATTTTTAAAGACCCACAATATTGTGCATGCCAAGGTCTATCCCTGTCCTCGTGACACTTGCATTTATTTTCATTTTCTTAAAGATTTTATTTTTAAGTAATCCCTACACCCAACATGGGGCTCGAACCCACAAGCTTGAGATCAAGAGTTGCACGCTCCATCAACTGAGCCAGCCGGGTGCCCTGGTGCTTACATTTAGAAGCAATTGTTAATATGTCAAACATTATTTCAGCAGGGGACAAAATACTGGGACGATAAGAAAACAAAGCAAGAGTGCTAGAGACAGCTGGGGTGGGGGCTGCGTCAGCCTGGGAGGAGGAGGCTTCTCTGAGGAGGGGAGATAGGGAAAGACAGGAAGGATCAAAAGGAAGAGCTGAAGGAAAAGCATTCCAGGAGGAGAGCACTGTAAGGGCCCTGGGGCAGGTGCAAGCCTGGTGTGCTCAGCCCAAGGTCACTGCAGCTGATGGTGCAGAAGAAGCTGCTGGAAGATCTTCAATGCTTCTCATATTCTCTCCACTGAAGAACCACTTCCCCCCCATCCATAAAATGCAATAAAAATTAATTTCTAGGAAAATAAAATTGAAAAAGACATGCATGGTGCCAGAAAGCAAGGAACAGCGGCCAATGATGGGGTGTGTCAAAGGCCATGGGAGCCCACTGAAAGAGCCCTCTGGGGCCAAAGCTAGGGCGAGCTGAGAAACAAAACTAATGTCGTGTTGTGTTATAACCCCAAGAATAAAGTCAACATCCATGAGTTCGTCCTGATACAAACAAATGATCAAATGCATTAATGGTTGAAGGACAAGAGACGAACTTGATGTGCAGAAGAATTCCAAATCATTTATGTAGATACTGCATCTTCTGAAAGAGGTGGAGCTGCACAGTGTGACTTCCTTCCAAGAAGTACAGTGTGGAAAGAGGGGGACAAAAAGGAACTTTACAGTGTGGAAAACTGACATACACATAATGTCACCCAGCTGGGGGATCAAGGCCACCATCCGCAGTCATAATTAGGTGGATAGTATGCACTCCCACAATATATCGTGAGGAGGATGGTACCTTGTGTCTGCGATCTTCCTTCCCCAAACCCGTAACCCTAACCTAACCGTGAGGGAGAGACCAGGAAAATTCCAACAGAGAGGCCCCCTCTGGGATCCCTGACCAATGCTCCGCAAAACTGTCAAGGTCATCAAAGACAAGGAAAGCTCAAGAAACCACCCCAGCCAAGAAGTGCCTAAGGCGACGACGTGACAGCTAAATGTCATGTGGGATCCTAGACCACAAAAAGGACATTAAGGTAAAGCTGGAGAAATCTGAATAAACTGTGTGCTTTTGTTAATACTAATGTGTCAAAATTGGTTCATTAACTGTAACAAATGTCCCATACTAGTGTAAGATGTTACTAATAGGGGAAACTCTGTGTGTGTGTTGTGTGTGTGTGTGTGTGTTGTGTGTGTGTGTTGTGTTGTGTGTGTGTTGTGTGTTGTGTGTGTTGTGTTGAGTGTGTGTTGTGTGTGTGTTGTATGTGTTGTGTGTGTGTTGTGTTGTGTGTGTGTGTGTTGGGAGGGAGTATATAGAAACTGTACTCGCTCAGTTTTTCTGTAAATTCAAAATTGTTCTAAAAATTGACTAAAAAAAGAATTTAAAAGACATGCAAAATGTGAGCCCAAAAGTCATAAAATTACTATGTC